GGGTCGTATTTCAGTTCGTCTAAGTGGAGCGTTATCAATCAATGCAGACTGTTCGATTGCACAGTCGGAGTCAGGGTCAGTCCTATCGTTGTTACTTTTTCAAAATTTTTACGACCCCCCTCCCCCAAGGTGGACTTGGTACGACCCCCTTTTCGACCCTCGACCACCATATTCCTCTCTATAGTATTTAATTCTGGTACCACTCAACCCACCAAACTCCGCCCACTTTTTCCTCCAAAAATGCCGTCGAGCGGGGAGCGGAGGTGGGGGATATATACCCACTATGAAACAGTAAAAATTTACCAAAATTCCCTAAATTTCAACCAATTTACCCCCACTTTACAATCCCACTGCTTCATTTTCTAGGGGGGGGTGCTCAAACCTAAAAAATGCATGGTACATGTGCGCTTAAAACAAATATTTATCCTCTAAAAATATGTATGTGGGAAATAAAATCTGTTAGGGATATCACATGTAAAGACATATGAAAGAGCATTGAAGTATGTCAAAAGCTTGCGAAATGAAGAAAAGAATTTCACATAAGTCTATGGTATTATGACTAGGGTGCTCAAGGATCGATTCCCGAGTAATCAGGTTCTCCACTCCACTCTTCAGTTTCAGGCGGCTCCTCCACGTATGAAGCAGACGAGCTCTCCTCCTGAAGTGCTAAAAACGATCAATTACACTTAATGGGACATATCTCTGGAATGATCAATGAGAAACCCAGCGAATTATTTGACGCCCCTTGCTGAGCGCTGACAGATTGTGCTCAAATAAGCCAAAGTTTGCTAACTTTTATCGGATTGCTTACATCAAACAAGTATCCAGACAGCACTGAACTTCACTATTTCAATATCATGGAATCAACTTGGAACACTAGAAGCACATCCTTTCAACGCCAGCCAAAGCACTTGAGGAGGGTCACTGTTCAAAAGTGGCCGCTCCCGGACACAGCTCCGTGGCATCTCCTTTACCCGCACCTAGGAGGTCCTGCTGAATGAAAAAGATCGTCTAATAAATGCTCACCTTGAGCATAGGTCATGCCACTGGAATGTTCCGGGAGATGAATCCTGTATTCTGTTCCAGCTTCCACACGGTGTTCAGTTGAGAGCCCTGATTGACCAACAGTGAGCAGGATGTCTCTTTCAGCGATCATCGAGGAAGATTCAGCGGTAGATATCGTAGTGCCTTGGTCATCTGCAGAAGCACAAGTTAGTCATATTTCTCTCCTTTTCGTGATTCCCTATGCCACATCAAAAGTAGTCAGCCTAGTGCGGACGCGAGTTCGCATGAAATGTGGACATCTCTGAAACTTCATCATACAAAATAGCAATAAAAAGTTTTTAAAGCTGAGAGCTCTCGAATATTCCCGTCTTTGATGAATTCCCCGAACTTAACTAAAAGAGAAGTTGGAAAAGAATTTGTCATCACACTGAAACTTAATCTACGCTTTCCGACGTACGATGACGGTTTGGTGAGAAAGAGGCATCCATGGTGGGTGCCGCGACAGACTGCCTGAATTGTCGTCCCGCAACCATTCAAGTAAAAATGTAACAGCAATGTTGTAATCGGTTTTTTTAAGGCGTCAATCATTACATCATGACAATCCGAAGCCGTAGGCTAACTTCCCACCCATGAATTCTGCCCATTATCTGACTTGCGAAGGATCGGCAAAATCACTGCCTTAATAAGGTTTGCGCAGGCCGAAAACAGACCGCAACTGCCAAAGGTCCAACTGACTGTGGACGGGTCATTGCCCGCATTTTATGATGCGACTAGAGCCGTTCTACATATACGAACACTTTCTGCTGCATACACTCCCGCCACGAGTTTTGCTACGAAAGCGGAAAAGGAGCACACCGGAAGGCGTAGAGCTAGCGCAGTATAAGCGATCCGAGGTTCGCTCCGAAACAAATGCTGGTAGAAGCATAAAACTGAATTGACAAATGGCCCGGCCTCGGGTGTCCCCCAAGAGGCCCGTCGCGCGGCGAAGGAAGAGACGCAGACGCGGCAAAGGACGAGTCGCAGCGCGTGCTGTGCGATATGAGACGTAGTATGGTACACTACTTAACCTGACGCCTAACCGCTACAGTATGCGCTGCGACTCGTCCTTTGCCGCGCGACGGGCCTTTTGGGGGACACCCCTAGCCTCGTATCAGCCCATAACAATACCGCATCAAAGAAGTGGAATCTCAATAGAAAATCGAACTCACGGGGCGTCCAAAAGAAGAAAAGCAATGCTTCCCTTCTAGCGCCAAACAAATCTGGGTAGTAGAAGGTAAGCAGACTCTGTAGAAAGAGATGTTTTTCGAAGCCAAAATTGTAAGCAAAATTTCAACTTTCATGCAAACCACCATCAAATTTGTGAACATAGAGGAACACTCACGTCTTGAGGAAGCGCTGTGTTTCCCAGCAGTACCTCCGCGGCTTCGGGATTGTCAAAAGGTGAAACTCGATGGAAGGTATTCGACATCTTCATAAAGGGATTCTCGATCTCCACGGGCTGAGACAGCGAACTCGGTAGCCCTACAGAATTGGTCCTCTAAACGAAAGCTTTTTTCAGTGGACTCCATAAATTTCCAGCACTAAAATGTCGCTGACACATTGGAATTACGGATGTAGCTGAGGATCGTTCAAAGCGATCAATAAATATTTATCTGTTTGATATCACTTTTCACTCACGTTTTTGTCCGAGTACATGCGCTTTATTTCCTTGTCGAGAGCGGGATCGATCCGGAAACTTCCACGTTCCCCCTCACCGGCCGTCAGAAACGAGCAAGTGTGTGGGAGCAAGCCGCCCAAGAAGGAAGCCAGATGAGTGGTCGACGGTAGGAAGGCGAATTCGCTTCATCAGCCGATAAGGGGAGAGTGAGCATTTCCTAAAAGCCAGCCATAAAGATGAAACAAAGGGCATAAACTGAAGAATCACAGAAGACTGACGAGAAGCAGCGAACCGGCGGTACCTTCGCACATCATGTTGTACTTGGTACGAGTACAGGCCATCAGGCATTGAGCGATTCTGAACCGAAGGAATTGTTTCAAAGCAGCAATCACCGTAATCGTTTGTGGATGAAACATGAAACAGTGGTGCTCATGGAGTGTTCAGAGTTGGCGATCGTTCGTGCGATAAGGCGATGATTCAAGAAGAAAAGATACGCATCGATTAGGTGACTAGGCGAGTGGGAAAGAAGGCGATTAGGCAAGAAGGCGAATACCAGTTTACCCAGATTAAATTAAGCGCCCGACATTTCCTGCTATAATTGTACTCGCCTAATCACCTAATCGCCTACTCGCCTAATCGCCTAATCGCAGTACGATCGCCAACTCTGAACGCTCCATCAGTGGTGCTGGCATATAGTAATCATAACAATATTTAAACCTTACTTGCAGCCTTGGCTGAAGAAAAGGCGACTCATGTGTGGTTCGATTATTCGGCGCATGTTCACGTTCTTGCTGACCAGTGGATGTTCTAGCTGATTCATGACTGTGTTCTTCAAAGCTATTCCAGTAGCCAACGAATTCGGATGGCATTGATGATCGCAGTCTATTTCAGTATTAGTTATTATAAAATGGAAGAAAAATTAAAGCAATTGGGGTCGGCGGAGGTGAGTCACAAAACTCTTTCCATCTTGATGTGGCGGGATTGTCATCACAAAGTGACGAACCCTGACGGAGCAGAAGCGGGTAGACGCACGCCTTGACCGGAGATTTTGAGCGAGTGGGCCGCCTAGGCATTGGTCTTATGACCGTCACTGTTAGAAGTAAGTGATGCGTGCATCCTTGAAGGATCATAGCGCTTGCAATCCCAAATGACTAAGCTTCATCTCAACCAGGCTTTATAAGCATTATAGTTACCAGTTTTGCTTCGCCCGCTATCGCGCGCATCACACGGCAGGCTTTAGCGAAATTGGAGGACCCATGGAATATCAGCATGAGATACTCCATTAACCATCTCACTATTGACTGTGTTAGACCCTCCACAGTTTCACTGAAGCTCATCGAGAATACGCGTGATAACGTCTGAGCTGAACTTGATCACAACTCTGTAAACATCCAGCATTTTTCTTGAATTAAGATAATTTAGCGGTGAATAGGATTTTCTTGTGTCAGTCTCAAAATAAAAATGAAATATGCCTATTTACATAAGTGAGGAGCTAATGCTTATCATTCATTTACATTCACCATTATTTAGAACCCGAAATGATTAGCGGTTTAATGAGTTTGGGTTTTCTTAATAGTGCATCAGAAATGAAACTTATCATTTGCTGAAGACTTGTTTAGGTTTATGCAGTCGAATTCTATTAAGTAAGCTGGTTATATCAAAACAATGTGCACGTACTACAATTTGTAAATAGGAACGCTCTAGTGTCAACGCTGCGTAACGGAATTGACGACTTCAGCGTTCTGGCGCACCTTATCGGCCCTTATCAATCGTTATCAGTTTCTGGCACCCACCAACAATGTCCCCGTCCCACCCCACATAACACTTGTAAGTATGGTTGCTCTGGTGTCAACGCGAGCCAGGCAACGGAATCGACGACTTCGTTCTGGCGCGCCTTATCGGCCCTTATCAATCGTTATCAGTTTCTGGCACCCACCAACAATGTCCCCGTCCCACCCCACATAACACTTGTAAGTATGGTTGCTCTGGTGTCAACGCGAGCCAGGCAACGGAATCGACGACTTCAGCGTTCTGGCGCGCCTTATCGGCCCTTATCAATCGTTATCAGTTTCTGGCACCCACCAACAATGTCCCCGTCCCACCCCACATAACACTTGTAAGTATGGTTGCTCTGGTGTCAACGCGAGCCAGGCAACGGAATCGACGACTTCAGCGTCTGGCGCGCCTTATCGGCCCTTATCAATCGTTATCAGTTTCTGGCACCCCAACAATGTCCCCGTCCCACCCCACATAACACTTGTAAGTATGGTTGCTCTGGTGTCAAGGCGAGCCAGGCAACGGAATCGACGACTTCAGCGTTCTGGCGCGCCTTATCGGCCCTTATCAATCGTTATCAGTTTCTGGCACCCACCAACAATGTCCCCGTCCCACCCCACATAACACTTGTAAGTATGGTTGCTCTGGTGTCAACGCGAGCCAGGCAACGGAATCGACGACTTCAGCGTTCTGGCGCGCCTTATCGGCCCTTATCAATCGTTATCAGTTTCTGGCACCCACCAACAATGTCCCCGTCCCACCCCACATAACACTTGTAAGTATGGTTGCTCTGGTGTCAACGCGAGCCAGGCAACGGAATCGACGACTTTTGCGTTCTAGCGCATCTTATCAGCCATTATCAGTTGCTATCGCTTCCAATCATGTACCACCAATGTCCCGGGACCGCCCCACATAAGATAATGTATCCAACATGTTTATTTTAGTTTAAGTATAGACGCTCTAGTACCAATATGAACGACAAAACGAAATTGGCGATGCTCGCTTTCTAGCCCCTCTTATCAGCTATTATCAGTCGTTATCAGTTCCTATCACGTACCACTTGTGTCCCCATCCCACCCCCTATAACATATGTAAGAACCACTGCGCTATCGTTACTGTGACTCGAGCTATGAATTTCCGGTCAACACACACACACAACAGACACACGCTAGCCGCTTATATATAGTAGGATTGGTAAAAGCGTCGATTGCTATGGACAGAATGTAGTTACGGAAAAAGACCGCTCCAGAAAAGTAAGGCAACTGCCAAGCGTCCTCGCGCTGCCTCTTGAGGAGGATAGACGGTATTACTTAAAGCTCATTAAGTGATTTTTTCCCGTTTTTCTACATTGACATTATAATTCGCATTTCAGCTGGCGCGTTCAAGCGCTACAGAACCCTTGCTCGGTCGCGACCCCTGCCTTTAGGATTAAACTGAAGATTGAGCTGTCAAAGTTAAAAGTAGTGATATAGAGTGCGAATTTTGTTTTTCCGGACTGAAGGCAGTGATCACGATGGCTGGAAGGCGGTTCGGTTTGACGACGTCATTGGTGGGCTAGACCCCTCAGCGCGCTGAGGGCGTGGTTGGGACCGCCTCTTAGCGCCCTTCCACCAATGACGTTTATGACGTCATCAAAACCGCACCACCCTCCAGCCATCGTAGTCAAGCCTCTGAAGAACTCAATAGCCAACCTTGTTTGACACGTGCGCTGTTCTCATCAATGCAGTCAGCCAGAGCATTGAAGGCTAAAAACGAACTAGACATTTTGCAGGGAATGGTGGAGCACTTTCAGATGTTTACCGTCTTTTTGTTCCCTGCACATATACCGTAACCCGCTTGTTAGTGATTTGAACATCGAATCTCTGCCGCAGTGCCGGTGATGTGTCATACAAGTAGTTGCATCATCATAAGCTCTGCCAATGAATTTCTTGAGTATTGATTATGTAAAGAGCAGGAAATCGTTCCTCACCTACACGCTCTGTGCATATTTTCTGTGAAACTGCCCGATCGAAAATAGACTCTGAGCACATGGAGAACTTTCGTCACGCAGACGGATCTGCAGGAAGGGAGCTCAGCAGCTGAAACAAGAAAATGCTAATGGTTAGAAGGCGACAGAATTGGCAGTAAGCACGAGAAAGCTGGACCAGATCATGCGCGGCCACCGCCTTACGATGGCTCGGGGTCGAGCAGCTTTTCAGGTAAGGTGGGCGATCGGTTACATCAATTAAACATACCATCAACATAATTACTTATATATTTTTCATTCTAAAGAGTAGGGGAAATGGTGACAGTAGCTTCAACTTGGCTAGGAAGTTCGCAAGCTAGGAAGACGCTACCTAGTACACGACCGGGGAGAGTCAGGCAGTGAGATGGTAATGTTGTGGGCCGATACATTGCTAAAAATTGCCACATATGCACTCATTGAAATTCACATCTTCAAGCCATGGATTCGGTGAGGCCAAGAGATGAACGGCTCACTAGGTTGTACACCGACTGGTCAACTCGCGACGTCGCGCACACCCGCACGCTCACGCGCTTCGGAGTCGTGTTCGCTAAGCATGAAAACCGGCAACTCGATACGCGGAAAAGCACGCGTTGGATGAGGTCAAGAAGAGTGAAAGGTGTGCCGCGGAACCAGCGGCCGCTCCACCGCGCGCGGCTCGTCGCAAATATGCGGCGTCGCGAGGTGACTTAACGGTACACATTCGCGTCCCCGATTACAATCGCAGAATTTGTTAACTCAACTTCTTTACGTTTCTTCTCCATAATCTGACGCATCCTTTTCACTGAGATGATTACATTTCTCCGTGTGTTATACTAATGGTCTCACGACAATTTGACGACGAGCTTTCCATGCGAAGTGAAAATCGGTCGGGGATTTGTCGACGGCTCGTCGAGAATTTTCATCTGCTCAGTCACGCTCTCTCGCGCGGACATTCACTCTCGCCACGCGCGAGCCATCTGTGCTCTTAGCGCTCTACCTATTCTCTCCACCCCCTCCCCCGGTAGAGAGCCGTGGTCTCTCGACCGTTATTCACCTGCATCCATGGCTACCACAACCCTTTAAAAAGAATGGATGCTCTCAGAATTTAATGTTGTATGGGCAAAAAACGGATCTCACCATATTTGGCTGCAGGCATCCATAACGGCGGTTCAGCTCCGTCACCACTGCCTTCAGGTCCATCCAAAGGTGAGAAATATCGGTCCACTGCAAAACAAGGTTGGTTTGTTAACACACTTCCGGACTCGCTTGACATCAGTAGGGTTTGAAACCGAATTCTCGGAAATGTTCGTGACCCATGGGCAGCCGGGAACTTCAAGAGCTTATCGAGAAAGTTTTAAGTTTTTCCTCACTGATGGTCCTCACCTCTAGTTTCATTTTTATGCGAAATAACGCAGCAATTAGCTCGCTACCCGTGGCTTTAAGGGCAGCAGGTACGGTAAACTGAATGCGTACCGGAGGAAGTATATGTTCCAGGAGGCGCTAGCTGAGCAGCAAAGGGAGCTAGGATACCGTTTTAGCGATAAATGATCCGGTGATTGCAGTGCAAGGCTCCAAACCTTAAAACGGAAAATCGCATCGCCATAAAAGGCACCCCGCCCACGAGTTTTGTGACAGCGGTATAGTTGTCGTTCGATTTTCATTTCGAGAACGTATTTTGTATGAAGGGATCTGAACAGTCATCTATAGGCGGCAAAACCAACGGACAAAGTAGGGTGCTATTCTTCACGTTTTTGAAGGACTCCTGCAGACGGCTATTCGGCCTCTGTTCTATTCTAAACCACTCAGAATTATTGTACTCACTGCCTTTAAGTAGCTGCCAACATGCCCTAAACCCAGTACTTCAAGCTCTGACACTACCCAAAACCATTGACTGATGTTTTTTTTTACTTTGATATCGCCACAGAAGGGCGGAAGTGGTGTAGTGGCAAGTGGCACGCTCACCACGCGAGCGGTCCGGGGATCAAATCCTGGGTCGTGAGTCGCCCGGGCCAACCAAGCCTTCCATCCCTCCGGGGTCGGATTAATTGGTACCAGACTTGTCTGGGAGGATAAAAACACACTGACTTTGTTACATCGGCTGGCCCCCGCAAGTCATTGTATAGGCCACATCTCAACCTTTCGGCAAGTTGAAAAACTTCCCTGTTGCAGAATTGCCCACAGAACAATTAGCAATATACAGGCGGCATACTGCTCATTGTGTGACAAACTAAAATATCACTGAACTTCTATCAGTACAATTTCAATCTGCTTACAGAGGTGACTCGCTCACACATATACCCTTGCTTCCAAGAATCAGATACTCGTCGAGTGCAGACCACACACCAAAAGTGACGACGGCCTCTAAGGAAGTCTGTTAACTAGTGATTCATAATGATTCTGATAGTTCGGAATACTAGTTGTAATAAGTGACAACTGACAATAATATATGCAACCAGCATTCCACTTGCAGAGAAATATTTACATTATGTGGAGGCCGTCGTCACTTGTGTTGTGTGGTCTGCGCTCGATGCGCAGACCACACAATCAAGCTTATAGGTTGAACCCTCCGGGTAAATCGATCAATACGAGCGCTACCGTCCGAACTAAGGTCCTTCGACGGCCCTAACGGCCTAAAGAAAAATGGGGCAATTGTGGGCTCCTGGGGGGGGGGCGGGCAGTCCGCCAACGCGTGATTTCTGCGTTTTCTGTGTAAGCATGTCCTCTTTGCTGAATCGGGAATAAGCGTCGGGGAGCGGAGGAAGAACTCCAGGATCGTAGCAATTTTCATCTTCCCAAAGTTCCTGCCCACTTCTAGGCTTAGTACTACAGGGCGCATGGGTACCCCCCCAGGAGGCCCATCGCGCGGCAAGAAGGCCGAGTCGGCGGACGAGTCGCGGCGCGTGATGTGCGATGAAGGACGTGCAATGGGACATTCTATTTAACTTGACGCGATTTCCCTAATACGCGCGCAACTCGTCCGCTGAATCGGCATTTTGCCGCGCGACGGGCCTCCTGGGGGGTACCCGGCGCCGGCGAGCAGAGATCGCGGTCCGCGTTCTGGCACCGCCCTCCATGGCACATTGCACCGAAAACTGATCCCAATACACCAGAATGAGAAATGGGAGTAGGGGGGGGGGGGGGAAATCCGCACAGCTGCAAAAACACGTCTATTGCCTATTTCAATACCCAGCTCGCAAAAAGTAGTATAACCCAAAAGAGCTCGAAATTTATATATCTCTCGAGCTTAATTTATAGGGGTAATTCAATGCACTGATCATGTAGCACTTAATTTTAACGTTGGCGCCACTTTGACGCTAATATGGATCCATTCGTGTCGGAATCGCGTCAGTGTTAGAGTCGGGTGTCATACTCGTAATCAGGACATCGAATAACCCCCATACGTGAGTCTTGCGACAGCGAATTTAGCGCAACTTGTCAGCTGAGTAGCAAAAAGTGAAAAGGGGAACACGCATCACCCCAGTAAGCAGCCACAAGCCAGATCTGATGGTAAATCCTTGGAGGAAGGTGCGATGCTACTTATAGGTCTCTAGTACAATGGCTGGTAACCATTACTTCAAAAACACTGAAAAAGACAAAAACTTTATCGCGATGGAAAAGATTTACAGATTCAGCACACATGGATTACAGTATCTATCAACACATCTGTGAAAAAATGATGATTCAATTGGAGGGCGTTAGGGCGTAAATTGAAGCGGCAGTTAGCAGATCAATAGTTAAACTGTCCTTTTCTCATTTTCATGATTTCACTCTTCTGTATGGCGAAGCGACACCTTTTGTCCATTTTCTTGGCAACAAAGTCTTTGATTGCTGGTGTGGCCTTCAGCATAAGATCAGACACTGCTTCCACCGGTTGCAAAAGAATGTCCTGAAAAGACTGTCATTCTATTGCTACAACAGGAAATATGGCGGTGCAAAACCAATATGGTGGGACACCTTGATTTGCGAATCATGGTAAGGAGCGGGTGCAATTACGGCTTAGACGCTATGACCCACTCTAATTGCGTAGGTCTAGGCGCACTTCTTAAAAAGTCTTCAACCGCGACATCTACCTCGCACACACTCTAATTTTTTGCCCAACTGCTCACGCCCAACACCCCCAGCCCTGAATTCCGTAATTGCACACGCAACCTACCGTAACCCGTACGATCAATATGTTACACCATTTAAGTTCTGCACTCAAAAGGTAATGTAACTCACCAAGGTAAGCCATCCACTGAGTGGGCAAACTTTGTTCAACTCGATGGTGGCACACGGTAACATACAGTTGAACGAACTGAAAATGAAGGAAATATTTCATTCAAGGTGAGACCTGGGATCAAACTGGTGTGTAGGAGTGCTCATTAATGACGTCAAAGGTGGTGTAGTCCGGAAAAGAAAATGAAAGCAAAGTAACTCCCGATTACGCCCCGAAAAAGGCACCTTTCTCTTCCAGCTGTGTTCACTAGTGGGAGTTGGATGGACGAGTTTCCACGAAACGGCTAACGCCAGCTGCTCCACCACCAATGAGGAGCCGCAATGCTGTTCTTCGTGGCGCCAGCGTGACAGCCGGAGGCGGGGCTTGCGGAGGGAGGTGTGGATTGCGGAGTCGAGCGAATTTCTATAGCCTTTTCGCGCACTTTCGAGCTCGGCAGAAGGGGCAGCACATCAGCGCTGGCTCTTTTTTACTACGCTCAGGGATAAAACAGGTGATGCTCAATCCCGGAGCGGGACTTCACCACAGCTCCTGATAAGAATGACCTACGGAAAACGTTGCCCAAAAACTGGTAATAAGATCACAAGTCAAGGCCGCGAGGTCATGGAAATCGATCACAGGAGGTCATTTTCTTTTCCATCATAGAAGGAAGTGCTCTAGTTCCTAAGTGAGTTTCATTATTTCTTCAGCCCCGTCCTTGCCGGAATGAACAAAAGTCACGTTTCCTTGGCGGGGTCGTTCGTGAAAAATATCGTGTATGGATGGGAGTGGGGAGATCGTTGGTGGGAAAAAGGTGGAGATATGAAATCGCGGCGTAAATGTATCAAACGTGGAATATGCTGTTCCAAAGGTTACATTTACTTCCTCCCTGTCACAAATTTCTCGACCGGTAGTTCAAACCTATCTTCCCCGGTCCCCTACTTCACGACCCAGTTCTTCTACTGCAGAACAGAGCCAAAGAAGCAGTTGCAGGCAGACACTCTCAGGCAGGTGAATAACGGTCGAGAATTCTTCGACCATGGCTCTGTACTGTGTGAGAATAGTGTTGTACGCGCGGAGAGCACAGACGGCTCGCGGGTGGCGAGAGTGAATGTCCGCGCGGGAGAGCGTGAATGAACAGGCGAAAATCCTCGACGAGTCCTCGACGAATCCTCGACCGATTTTAGTCCTGAGAAATCTTATGTAGAGCGGTCGAGTGGGTAAGCTTATAGGATGTGAATACTTCTCTGTGAGAGGTCCTCGAGGCTCCTAAAAACCCTCCACTTCGGGGTAACCCTGTGTGACACTCTGAATCCATAATTGATTGTAAGGACACAGTTACTCGGAAAACATAAAACAGAGCTCTTGCGGCGTGGAAACCAACCTGCAAAGACTTCCCAGATGATCGTTCACTGTTAGGAGACTGCCGCCCATCCTGGCCGCTCTGATAATGGCAGGGTTGTTGAGGAATGCAGTAACGTTGCTGCGGCCATGGCATTTGTTATCACACACTGCAATAGCCCACAATAACTTATGAAACCTCTAAAGATATGAAAGGCTAATCTCCTATGGAAAACTCACATTGAGCGGTTGCATCAGCGTATTTTGTGAGGCACGGCTTCATTTTCTCGAACAGGGCTGCTCGTTCACCGCACATCCTCGTCACACTGCTGCTAGCAGTCTTGAACAGGTTGTGAGTATCGCAGAGCCGTGCCTTCTTCAGGCACTGCGTTGCTTGTTCATGGCTCCTGAACAGAGGCCAGGATGCATAAAACCATGAAAATTACAGAAATTATGCGCTGGCTCAGAATTTCACGAACCTTGACTAAGTGTGACGATGCGTAAGGCTTAGACACCAGTTCAAAAGTTATGAGCACTAGCTGTGCCAAGTGAGAAGGCGAGTCGACTGAGGGAGGTAGGCGGGCTATGTGCCACAGTTCCTAGCCAGGGCCAAAAGTAGCGCCCACACTTTTTTTTCGATATTCCCCTCTCCCCTACTGCGCCATTACTTCGCCTGTTTTTCTGTTTTTCTTTATAGCCTGTGTTCCCTGCTGATTTCTGCCTCAGACCGAGTCGACAAAGCCCAACTAAGCCCTTTCTCAAATAACATAGGGGAGGTAGGGTAGGGAGGGGGTTATGTCTGCGTAATGACTAATCGGAATCGGCAAATGGTTTAGTTTCCTGCTGTTTGCTTATCAAATTTTTTTGGCGGCTATCGCAATATACGGGGCGTTCTTCGGTCTAAGCCATAGGAAAACAACAAGGACTCCGGGAAAAAATGAACATGGTTCACGCACCTCCCCATTTACTGTAAGGCTTTTAGTTCCCGTTTGTAACAAACATTCTCTACGCGTCTGAACACAATTGGCCCCCCGTATATTTGCGATAGCGCCGATTTTTATATGGGATTTTTGGCTAGAATGTTTTGTTTTGGACATTTCATGTTTGAAAACCGTGAAGGCTGGACTTCCTTCTGCTTATGAGCTTACCAAAAGAAGTGTTTTGTTGTACAATTTCCATCAAACGCAGCACCTATCGCCCCCCCCCCCGCCGTTTGGGGGTGAAGCCGTCAGATGAATTTTTGATGATATCTAGGCGCGTGGAAGTTATACGATTTTTCGTCTACAACGGTTACAAATACGCTTAGGTTACCAGTCTAGATGTAATTTGGACTTAACCCTATCTTAAATGGCTACACAAAAAGCAGGGTAGACAGACCTAGCGCAATAAAGCAGAGATTCTTCTCACCTGCAAAGAGGTTTGACGTTTTCGACGATGTCACGCAGGTGCCAGAGCTTTGAAGCTTGTTCCATAAATGGATCTACGCACCTTCGGACACACGACGGCACTCCCAATGCACGCATCATCAGGTCTGCGTTGAAACCTGAAAATCGTCGTTATCGTTTCAATTTCAAGATTACCAGCGTTAACACCCCCTACCCATCACACTCCTCACCCCCCTCCCCAACTTCCACTCTTCCGCCCCCCCCTTGACCGCTCTAATACTTTTTGTGGCAATATTTAACTGAGAGGGTCCATTTTGGCACAGAGCGCCCAGGGGACGAGGATTTTTACTTAGGCCTAAGGGCAAGTAGCTCCAAGGTGGTTGAGCAACGTTGGTGAACAACTCTCATGGAGTACGAAAACCATTCTCTCACAAAACCACACCTTTTTTCATCCACACCAAAGCTTCTTCCCCCGGTCCCCCATCCTACCGTATTCCTCATAACCGGATTTAAATCTTAGCTTCCTATACCCAGTATCAATGCCGCAAAGCATAAAAATTGGAAAAAATGGATGAGACATGTGTCTCAGCAAGTTCTCCTCAATGTGGAGGTCCTTGAGGTTGGGATTATTTGTTTCTACCATTTATTTGTAATGGCCCTTCCCCCCCCCCTCCATGTAAACAACGCAAGTTTCAGCTTTTACTTTTCCACGGTAAGAAGAACCCTGAGCTGCTGAGTCTTGGTGGGGCTTAATCACCCAGTTGAGACCCTTCCTATATCTGACATGGCCTGTTTGCAATCTACAAAGACAACTTCAAAGAAAACTCACTTGGAGCTATGGCTCCTACACTTGGACTTTTGTTGGTATTCATTCTGGCTACGACCAAGACAAGAAGTGAACTGATTACGACTAGTTGATTATAAAGCATCATGATTCTGAAAGGCGAATTGAAGAAGAAAATAGTGGATTGGGGCGCTAAACCAGATAAGTATCCCGGGGCATGTTGTGGTGCAGCAATGCATTTCGAGTCACGGAAACATCTCATTTTGCTGTTAAACAACGGACTGAAGCCGAACGGAGACAGGTTTCAGGGTGTTGTGAGCAAATCTCATTTCTCCGAAGGTATCTCGCCTTCCTCCTAAGCCCGGTCCCTGGGCATTCCCGTCTCTCAGGATAGCCCATGAAAAGACAACACAAGGAAAAGTAATGGTAAAAGGAAGAAGTTTAGAACGTCCACTCGACTGAAGAGAACCGACAAAAAACTTAGAGAGTCACCGTCGAACAGCTATTCAATGCCGAGCAACGTCTGCAGAGGTTTGGCGGCCGCTGAGCACCACCCCGTCAATAGATCCGCAATGCCGGTCAATTCTATATCTTATCAAGCTTGCGCACACCATCTGCGGTCATACAAGTACCGCCCTAGTTGTCATAACCCAAGTTTTGTGCAATGCTGCTCTAGTACGATCCTGCCTTTTTCATAGTGGTCATGCTACTGACTACTCAGATAGGAACACGTTGCTTGAGCTGACGCACTGTCGCGTAATTAGTTAGCAGAGTGATCTAGACCATAACAATGCAACAAAACTCAGCAACGGTCTTTAGCCTTGCAGGGAGCCCGTAGTGGCAAGGAATACTGACCTGGATCGAAATTTTTCATGGGGTCCGTGTTAACGACAGGAGGATCAACTGCTGTCAGATGGCCATCCATCGGCATCAAAGTCAAGCCGAATCATGACATTCATAATGACCCAGCGGCACACTTGTTGAAGAGTATTTAAAGCTTCATGGCGTAATTGACACATTTTTATAATGAAATATTTCTATACCTGTTAGTGGCTCTCTAGAAAGTGGACTTCATGGTGAAAATGTAGCTTATTGGGAATAATGGTAAAGGTAGGGTGGGCAATAAAGTAGGGATGGGTTAGAAACCATGTAAAACAGTCCAAAACTCGAGCAATGGGACCCTTTCCTTGCCCGTTTGCATTTTCACATTCGATCGCGCACACCACACAACGTCTCTTCTGTTCATGCTAAGCGCTCTCTGCTACTTCTGCTGGGCTTCCGAGCCAACTGCGTCAAAGGGAAGGCCATGTTAAATGCCGGGGGCAAAGGTGACGTCTGCGCCCTCTCGTGTGTGTTGCTTAGATTTGAGTCCATGGTAAAGACCACTTTGAGCGAATTTTTAGGGGATTGCTTTCACTCACTGGGTAGCCCACTGATTGCTTTTACAACATATTTTTCCAAGGCCGTAATGGCTTTGAAGTTTGGCTCTGCTTTTCGACCTCCCCCTGCCCAATCAGGTCCATTAACCACAATCGCTCCTAACTGTCGTTGAAATATGTAACAGCAGATATCTTGACTTGTTTTTGTTTCTTTCGTCACCCGTCTGGCGCAATTTCGTTCACAACCCAGCATTCTTGTGAAACTGCAGATATGTTTCTTGAGGTAAGGTCATCTTAAAGAGAGAATAGACGGCAAACAATTCGAAATTTTATTAGAATCGAGTTCGAGCACGGAAGGGAATGACTTGTGATCGTATTCGAGATCGATTTCCCACCGATTTGATGTAAACTGCGACAATGTATACGAAATGGATGGAACTCTTAGAGATACAGCAATGAATAATCACTTGGCGACAGTTCGTAGAGCTTCTCCGTTGATGCTCGCCAAGATAGAGACTGCCACCTTAAGTTCGACTTTACGACACACTTTTAAGAATAATGAAGCACGTTTAGGACTTTACCTCAAGCCCCTTCTCCGCCAAAATGCACTTCAACATTCTCAGCGCAGAAACCGACGTCCGTAGATCCAGGGGAACAGGTTAGGCTGGTCAGCTCTGACGATTTGTACTGAAATGAGCGAGTTGGAGTTGCTCCGCTGCAACCCACCTTTCCCTTCGAAAGACTCACGGTTTCGGTTGATGGTGCGTAAGGTAGGGAAGGAACTCCAACTTTAGTATGATCTTCGTCGATGCTCCTGTTGCTGTCACTCTGAATAGAAGGAGATTAAGAGCAGAGCCAAGTGTAAAGCCATAGCGGTTGCTTCTGATGATGATCTCACCCCAGTCATGAGAGACGGAGAGCAGACTGTCGGCTCGGGAGTTTCCACACGCGGCCTGGAAATCTCACATAACCTGACTTTTGAGATTGAAATATCAGATAATAGCAGCTATTTAGTTGCCTTCATGTTGATCGTCAGAGCGGGCGGGGTGTCGCCTGAGGCCTCCTGTTATTTGGACCACAGAGACTTTCGCAACGTCTAAACCCATCCCCACTTCAGACCTAACGTCAGGCCGCTTTCAGAGCTTGCGAATCCCATCCCTCCCATTCACCGTTGCCTCTCGCACTTTGCCAGGCACGTGAGGGCATGAGAGCTGCTTCATTATAGATGTTTACCCTTCCGGCCCCTCTCCCAGTCGACGCCCGTTTCGGAGGAAAAGGGAAAACTGGGCGACGGATGCTATGAGGCGGGAGGAAGGGGGCATTGAGACTCCTTAAGGAGAGGTCGCAAAATTTTGGAAAACTGCGAACGTGAAGGTTGACCCTGGATATGAAACAGTTGTCTTTTACTGCTTGTCTCCCATGCACTCTTAGAAGGTCTAGAAATGAAAGACAACTGTGAAGTTTTGATAAATTGGTAGAAACAAAGTTGCATACCTTGTCATCGGTGATGAGCCTTGGGAAACTGCAAAATAGCAATATTGTACTATGCGAAAACATCAAGGTACACAGTGCACACAGAGTTTTTGGTGAAACGAACGATTTCACGACTGTGGGGCGTGTGCCATGCATTTACGCGTAAAGGGGATTGATATTCGAGCTGAACGGGTCAAATTAGTTTTAGAGGCAGATTTTCCGAAAGTCTGGTGTTCCAAGGTGCTTCATTCGTCTCTTGCACAAGCTCATGCGTCAAATGCTCTTCAAATAAATGCGATATTCATTCAAGTCAAGCTTCTCTCCCTTCCATAGACAGCTTTCTTCAATGAAAATCTACCTACAAAGGCGAATTCTTTAAAAAAATCTAGCCCTGTCCGAAGTGGCCCGGAAAAATTTAGATGTGCCCTAAGAAGTGTATACTATATATGCTACCTTGACACGAATCTTTCCCTGTAATGTTTCCAAGGTCGCTAGCGTTCGCGAAGGAACCTTTAGAGCAGGAGTTTTAGGCAGCGGCAGGTCGCGACGTAACGTTCAGAACGGGAACTTGCACGCTTTTGATAGAACAGCCCAGAAGCGAAATGATTCGCATTAGAATGTCAGCAGGAGGAGAATATATTGCTCAGCAAGGGTGTGCGTCATATGGCGCGACAAAATTGGCATTGGAGGCACACACCGTAATAACCACATCTTGCTGTGGCCGGTCTTCGCAACACATTCTGCTCCATCCCTCTTGCCTTGTCATCGGAACAGCGAAGCTATCCGCTCTTTTTTTAGATCTTCGGG